TAAGACTGAGAAGGCTGAGGCAGCTGCTCCTGCTCACCAAGAGAAGGTTCAGCTTCTATAAGCGGGCCTCCAAGCTGACTTATGGCCCCTTGCTGGGTTGAAGAAGATTCCGTTTCCTTGGTGGGCTCTGCCATGATGGTAAGTACCACATCTGCAGGTTTAACTGTAACACTGGGTAAGTTATGAGGCACTTGATTCTGACCTGGAGGTCGAACTGTCACCTGATGAGTTTGACTTATACTCTCTGATGCAAACTCTGGAGCTTGAGCTGGGGCCTCTTGCTGAACAGGAAAAGGCTTAACTTCCTCAAAGGGCTCTGTGGGCTTAGCAGGGACCTCTTGCTGAATTTCAGAAGCTTCAACTCCCCCAGAAGTTTCAAAAGGCGGAGCTGGCTGCTCCTGCTCAGTGGGAGAAAGTTCAGTCTCCATAGGAAGGCCTGAAGGCTGAGCTGGGGCCTCTTGCTGGGTTGCAGGCTCCACTTCCCCAGGATGCTCAGGAGGCTGAGCAGGGGCCTCTTGTTGGGTTGGAGAGAGTTCTATCTCCTCAGCTTCCTCTGGAGGCTGAGCTGGGGTCTGCTCTGGGCTTGGATAAGGTTCAACTTCTTTATATGCCTCTGTAGTTATCACAAGTGTCAGATCTGCAGGTTGAACTGTGACATTAGGCAAGTGTGATTGCTGAGCTTCATTCTGACCTGGAGATGGAACTGACAGCTGAGGTACAGCATCTTCAGTAGCTAGTGGATGCTCAGCTAGGGCCTCCTGCTGTGCCAAAGGAGATGCAACCTCTTCATAGGGCTGTGGAGGCTGAGCTAGGGGCTCTTTCTGCTGTAAAGGGAGTTGGACTTCCTCAGCATTTTGAGTTTGAGTCTCTAGCTGGAATTGAGAAAATTGAACTTGCTCAGGAGACTCTGCAGGCTCATTTGAATTCACCTGTAATTCTGAAGGTAGGATGCCGCCAGAGTAACCAGTATCTGCATAACCAGCCTGTAAGGTTACTTCTTGCTGAGGTTTTGATGCAAACAGGTCCGGAGTTCCAATCACAACTGTAGCTAGCTGCCGATGCTGAGCTAGATCTTTCTGCAGGTCCTTGGGTGAAACAATAAACTTGGCTGCTTTTAAACTTTGACTATCTAAAGGTGGAACATGTATTTCAAACCACTGGTGTTCTGCAGTCTGATCTTCACCTACAGTCTGAACATTACTTTGGAGTTGAGGAAGTACATCTAGGGGATGGTTTTGATCCCAGCCTGGCACAGGAATCACCTCTGAGAACATTTCTTGCCCAGAGAGCTTGTCATGAAGATCCTGATGTAGAACAGCAAATGGGTGTGGCTCTGGGGGAATCTCTTGATCTGAGTCTGTGTCCAGGAATGGAGCCAAAGTCTCAGTTAATTCCAGAGGTGGGGCCAGTGAGGCCAGCATCTGGGCAGGAGCAGAGGACTCCAGGTAGTCAAAGCCCCCAAGATTTGCTGGGGGGGTAAGGACATGGGATGTTTTGGGTGGATGATGAGAGGGGTAAGAAGTCCAGGACTTGGTCAGCCCTGAGGAGTCAGATATAATCCGATCCAGGACTTGAGCCCAGTCTGTAGGCTGAGCTGCCTGGACCAGCAGCCACAAGGGCTGCAATGTAAGCATAAGGTAAATCCAAACGTGTAGGCCAGCCATGCCATGTGAAGGATTTAGGCACAGTGGAGTGTAGGAGCCAGTGGAGGTAGGAGCCATTAGGGCAATTCCACCACACATACAGGTACCCATAGCAACTAGAAGCCTGCACAGCTCCACCCCATCTTGCCTTTTGTTTATTACTCATTTATTTAGGCAACCTCTATTACGCTGTTGCCTTGGTGGACTCCAAGCCACCTGGGTGAGCCTTTTTCCACAGTAGCTAGGCACAAGCCTCCCTCCTCCCTTCTAAGGGAACAATCATCTTTTGCCCCTGCCCATTTTATAGCAAGATAGGACTTGGACCACAGACCCTGTTGGGAAGGGTGTTGCAAGAGGGTGGGGAGAGGGGAGGGTGGCAGATCTTCCTAAGAAAACCACACAACCTGGCTTCTCACATCTTCTCAAGTGCTACTTCAGTTCTGGCAGCCCGAACTTCTCCACCAAGTTGAAATCCAAAAGATAGTCGTCTTCCCCTTAGCCATGCTGTTCCCACGAAGAGCAACTAATCTGCAAAGTGGGTGTCAAGTAGGGTGGCAGACAGGAGAACACACATTTCAGTAACTTTTTCAAAATGTTGCCATGAACTCTAAACTCTCAGGATCATTTGTTCCATGTTTGGTAATACATTCACTACTCTCTTAGGTAGGGGCTACCATGGAATCTGTGATGATTCCAAAATTTCTGTAGGAGGGCTCAAGGGGTGGACAGTTCTGTTTCAGAAGAGAGAGTTTGAATCCAAGTGAATAGCCCTTAACTCAGGCATGGAGAATCCCCCATCTAACATGAGCTCGACACAGTATTAATCTACTCGGTCACTGGTGAAGTCATGATGCACTTTTACAGACAAAAGCATAGAAAAAAATACATCATGACTTTTCCGACAACCCAACAGGCATAATGGCACTGCTTCTCAGATGTCTACCGTGTGTGTACACATGGGCAGATGCCTAGGATGTTAAATCTGTATATGAAATAATTCCCTTGGCATACTTCTATTGACTAGAACCCAGCAGCTTCCTCTACAGGCCTTCTTACAATCTTTTACTTGTTTATTGTCTGGCATATAAATGCTACGAAGGGGCTTCAACTTCTTATCCCACTGTCTAGCATGTGACTTGGCACAAAGTACTTTTTTAAAATAAATTTTAAAATAATTAAGATTCTCGAAATAAAAGTAAATGCTATTTCTTTCGAAAATTGTACAGTATTTGTTCAAGTTAATAAAGAATCTTAAATGAGATGATAATAATAATAAATAATTCTTTTTTTAAAAAATAGAACTTATTCCAAGGTTTGCCTGATTTAACATTGGAGCTGTTTTTAAATCGGATTTCTAAAACCAGTGTGGACAGCCTTCCTCATATTTCACCAGAATCTAGATTCCTTTTTTTCTTTTCTTTTCTTTTCTTTTCTTTTCTTTTCTTTTCTTTTCTTTTTTTTTTTTTAAGAGGTCTTTCACTATAGGGCGTGTGCGCTCACAAGACAGACAGAGACAGACAGAGGAAAGCGAGAAATCACCCCCCCAGAGGGGATGGCCATGCCGCAATCCCTTCTCCTCCGTTCTCCTCTCAGGATCTTGGGCACACACGTACACGCGCCCAGCGTGGGTCTTAAGCCACTGGGTCCGGGACGCAAACCGCAGTCGACTATGTGGGAGTCCAGCGACCTAGACATTACGCTAACTGCTGGTTCCCAACGGAATCTAGATTTCTTAAAGTTTGAATTTTCTTGACTGGTCTTACTTAAGCTGATTTAAACAATTATTTCACATAAAAAAAAAAAAGAAAGAAAAAACTTCAAATACCTTTTCAGAATATAACTACTTTTCTCTGCCTTCTTCCAAACAAACCACTTCAAAATGTTGGGGTGAGTTAAATACAGTTGACCCTTGAACAGCATAGGTTTGAACTGCATGGGTCTACTTGTCTGTGAATTATAATTTTCAATGAATCTGTTGGAAAATATACCACAGTTGATAAGTATTTTCTCTGCCTATAATTTCTTAATGATATTTTCTTATATTACAGTTGATATGTATTTTCTCTGCCTATAATTTCTTAATGATATTTTCTTTTCTCCAGCTTATGTAACTGTAAGAATACAGTATATATCTGTATATTGCATAAAAAAATGTGCAAATTGGCTGCTTGTGTTATCAATAAGACTGCCAGTCACAGCAGTTTTATGGGATGCAAAAGTAACACAAGGATTTTCAATGTGTGGGGCAACATCACTTCTTTACTCCTACATTGTTCAAGGATTTTCTGTAATCAAATTAGAGCTTCAACTTAAATTCCCAAGGACATAAAACATATCTTTTGCTCATTTTTAAAAATTCTATGTGCAGTAAATCATGAATATTTTCTTTTAGAAATCACCTTAGCAACTTAATCCTTAATTAAGGGCTTTCATAAAATTGATTTACAGACAGGTTCTTCAGCAAAATATTCCATGCTAGATTTAACAGTAACACACTGTACCTGAAAGGCAGGCATATTAGGCTGTCATGAAAGTCATGACATATTTTTCTGTTTTTGTATACAAAAATGCATCATGAGAGGGACCAGCAAATGGCATAAAGGCTATGTCTCTAGACTTACACATAATCGACCATGGTTCGAGTCCCAGACCTAGAGGTTTAAAATTTCTGCCGGAGAGGCAGCAGGTGGCATGGTGGCTAAGGGCACTGGACTCCCACATGGCCAATTGCAGTTCGAATCCTAGACCTGTCAGCTTGCTTTCTCCCTTCCTTTCTCTCTCTCCCCACCTCTGGTCAAATTAAATCAAATAAATAAAGTTAAATAAAATAATTAAAAAAAAAAAAAACTCAGGCCAGGCATGTGTGCATGGGTACCCAAAATCCCAGGAGGAGGGTGAAGGAAAAGGGATTGTAGCATGGCCACCACCCTTGGGATCACTTCTCACTTTCTGTCTCTCCAGCAAGTACACACACCCTAATAGCAAAAATCTCTCTTAAAGAAAAAATGTGTCATGACTTTCCTGACAATCTAATAGTTTTCTAAGGCTGTAGCATAATCACACTTAAGGCCATTGTTACTTTGCTCCCAAGTCCCTGGGAGGGGACTTCTACAAAGGCCTATGGTTCGAGCAGCACAGCATCCCTAAGGCCTGGAGGGAAAGCCTATTGTGTCCACAACTAAGATAGTACTCTCATAGTCTTCAATTTTGCTCTCCAAGCATCAAATAAAGAGTCAGAACCAAGGGCCAGGGCTTCGGGAAAAGCCCCAGAAATCCTATGTACTCGAAAGCAGTTTCAGAGTTTCACATTTTCTAATGAATGATATAGGAGCCAGCAGGAGGCGTGTTTGTTCAGGCACTGAACTCCCACATGGCCAACCGCAGTTCAAGCCCAAACCTGGTAGCTTATTCGCTCTCCCTCTCTCTGCCTCTCTCTTTCTCTCTCTCTCTCTCTCTCTCTCTCTCCTCCTTCTCCTCCTCCTCCCTCCCTGTCTCTCTCTGGTGAGCACACCTGCCCTATAGCAAATTTTCAAAAACAATAATAATAATAAATAAAATTCAATAAATAATTCTTTTAAAAAGAAAGATACAAACCCAAGACTTCCAAAACCAGCAGATCAATTTGAATTATTGCTACACTGATTCTATAACCCTCCAGCATTCATGTCCACATACTTGATTAAAATTATGTAGTTCTGCACTTCTTGTGTCTACAATCTCCTCACTAGGTCTGTACTCCACAGCTATTTTACCACTTTCTGAAATTAAGTTAACAAGAATTCTCCTATTCAAAAGTTTCCTGCCTGACTTTAAGTCTTAAGCAAAATTCTCTAAACATTTTTTATAAAATACATTAAAGAATAACTATTTAATGACCACAGTAGGCTGAATAGCCTCAGCTAGGTGCTACTTTATAGTATATTCATTCTACTCACAGAGTTTCATGCCTAAAGTCAAACGTGTGTTCACAGATATGTATATATCAGCTGAACTTACTACTGAAAGTAGTTAGACTAATTAAGATATTTTGTGAATCAGTATAATGTGAGGGGGAAAAAAGGAATGGAAAGCAACTGCAGATACCAGAAACAGTGTGGGAGGAGGGTGAGAAATGGGAGGGTGGAGTAGGAGGAATTATATATGTATATATATGAAACAAGAAAATAAGAAATAGAAAATCATTTCTTGATGATAACATGCATGATTAAGCCACTATGCAGTGTATTCTAGATGGGAAATCTCATATTGTATACTGTCTGTCTGACACGACAGGGTCTTCTTGTTGTGATCCGTCTGCCTCTATCTCCCAGTGGAAATTACAGGCACACACTACCACACTCAGCCTTCAGGTTTGACCAAATATCAAATCCAGGCATTTCATGTGGTCCCAGGTTGTGGAGTGCAGTATCTTGGCATTGCACATGGCTGGGCCTCACATTTCGTGTTTTTGTTTATTTGTTTGTTTGTTTTTAGTTTTAAATTTTTGTCATGACTGGGACCAGCAGATGGCATAATAGCTTTGTCTCTGGACTTACACATAATCGACGGTGGTTCAAGTCCCAAACCTGGGGGCTTAAAACTCATGCCAGGAGGGCCAGCAGATGGCATGGTGGCTAAGGGCACTGGACTCCCACATGGTCAATCGCATTTCAAATCCCAGTGATCTGACATTTTTTTTCCATTTCTTTTATACATTTAATCACATTATTTAGCTTCACAAGGCATTTATGGGATAAAGAAATGGGTTATTATCTGTTGAGCATTTCAGTTTTTAACTTAACTATTTGTAGCAAGCCACACTATGAAAGACAAGCATTGTATGCCCCCACTTAATATATACCAAATGTCCGCAGTTGGAAGCAGAAACTGAAAGGTTAGAAGGTACAATAGCACAGAGAGCAGCTGTAGATACTAGAGACAGTATAGGAGGGGTGGATTATAGGGGTGGGAGGTCAGATCACGGAAAAAAAATATTTAATAGATACAAAAATGAAAAATTACCTGTTGATGATAAGATATATGGTAATGTATTTGACTTGACTAATACAGACTGTCTTCATGCTGGGAAAACCATGTTGTATGCTATAAAGATGTTCAGTGATTAAATGTAAATTTTAAAAATTGTATATATGTATATATGATGGGGCCAGCAGGTGGCATGGTGGTTAAGGTGCTCACTTGGCCAACTCTGTGGCTTGAGTTCCAGACCTAATAGTTTGTAAAATACTCCAGGCATATGTGCGTGAGTGCCCAAAATCCTGAAGAGGAGAAGGTATTGCAGCGTGGCCATCCCCCCTGGGGGGAGATTTCTCGCTTTCTGTCTCTCTGTCTGTCTCTGTCTGTCTGGC